GCCTGTGCTCCCCTCCATCCCCCGCCATGTACCCGCCTGTGCTCCCCTCCATCCCCCGCCATGTACCCGCCTGTGCTCCCCTCCATACCCCGCCATGTACCCGCCTGTGCTCCCCTCCATACCCCGCCATGTACCAGCCTGTGCTCCCCTCCATACCCCGCCATGTACAAGCCTGTGCTCCCCTCCATACCCCGCCTGTGCTCCCCGCCATTTACCAGCCTGTGCTCCCCTCCATGTACGTGCCTGTGCTCCTCTACTTGGTGGAGCCCCAAACGTCCTTCATTGACTTACAACCCCAGAATTCCAAGAAGGAACCTAAACTTAAAAGAACAATCCGTGGCATGCTGGGTGTTACCATGACAATCCGAGCTCAGCTTGTGTTACCATGGCAATCCGAGCTCAGCTTGTGTTACCATGGCAATCCGAGCTCAGCTTGTGTTACCATGACAATCCGAGCTCAGCTTGTGTTACCATGGCAATCCGAGCTCAGCTTGTGTTACCATGGCAATCCGAGCTCAGCTTGTGTTACCATGGCAATCCGAGCTCAGCTTGTGTTACCATGGCAATCCGAGCTCAGCTTGTGTTACCATGGCAATCCGAGCTCAGCTTGTGTTACCATGGCAATCCGAGCTCAGCTTGTGTTACCATGGCAATCCGAGCTCAGCTTGTGTTACCATGGCAATCCGAGCTCAGCTTGTGTTACCATGGCAATCCGAGCTCAGCTTGTGTTACCATGGCAATCCGAGCTCAGCTTGTGTTACCATGGCAATCCGAGCTCAGCTTGTGTTACCATGGCAATCCGAGCTCAGCTTGTGTTACCATGGCAATCCGAGCTCAGCTTGTGTTACCATGGCAATCCGAGCTCAGCTTGTGTTACCATGGCAATCCGAGCTCAGCTTGTGTTACCATGGCAATCCGAGCTCAGCTTGTGTTACCATGGCAATCCGAGCTCAGCTTGTGTTACCATGGCAATCCGAGCTCAGCTTGTGTTACCATGGCAATCCGAGCTCAGCTTGTGTTACCATGGCAATCCGAGCTCAGCTTGTGTTACCATGGCAATCCGAGCTCAGCTTGTGTTACCATGGCAATCCGAGCTCAGCTTGTGTTACCATGGCAATCCGAGCTCAGCTTGTGTTACCATGGCAATCCGAGCTCAGCTTGTGTTACCATGGCAATCCGAGCTCAGCTTGTGTTACCATGGCAATCCGAGCTCAGCTTGTGTTACCATGGCAATCCGAGCTCAGCTTGTGTTACCATGGCAATCCGAGCTCAGCTTGTGTTACCATGGCAATCCGAGCTCAGCTTGTGTTACCATGGCAATCCGAGCTCAGCTTGTGTTACCATGGCAATCCGAGCTCAGCTTGTGTTACCATGGCAATCCGAGCTCAGCTTGTGTTACCATGGCAATCCGAGCTCAGCTTGTGTTACCATGGCAATCCGAGCTCAGCTTGTGTTACCATGGCAATCCGAGCTCAGCTTGTGTTACCATGGCAATCCGAGCTCAGCTTGTGTTACCATGGCAATCCGAGCTCAGCTTGTGTTACCATGGCAATCCGAGCTCAGCTTGTGTTACCATGGCAATCCGAGCTCAGCTTGTGTTACCATGGCAATCCGAGCTCAGCTTGTGTTACCATGGCAATCCGAGCTCAGCTTGTGTTACCATGGCAATCCGAGCTCAGCTTGTGTTACCATGGCAATCCGAGCTCAGCTTGTGTTACCATGGCAATCCGAGCTCAGCTTGTGTTACCATGGCAATCCGAGCTCAGCTTGTGTTACCATGGCAATCCGAGCTCAGCTTGTGTTACCATGGCAATCCGAGCTCAGCTTGTGTTACCATGGCAATCCGAGCTCAGCTTGTGTTACCATGACAATCCGAGCTCAGCTTGTGTTACCATGGCAATCCGAGCTCAGCTTGTGTTACCATTTCAATCCGAGCTCAGCTTGTGTTACCATGGCAATCCGAGCTCAGCTTCTGTTACCATGGCAATCCGAGCTCAGCTTGTGTTACCATGGCAATCCGAGCTCAGCTTGTGCTACCATGGGAATATGCATCTGGGAAGCCCACAAGGTCCCGGAAGTATTGTTTGCTTCCACCTCAGACACGTGGCAGTTGCTGGGGGATCGGAA